ATGAAAACTATTTAGACATTTTTTTTTAAACTAATAAAAGTGACAAAAACAGCTAAATTAAAAAATATTAATAATTAAAAAAATAAACATTTTATTCAGAAATAAAATAAAATAGGTAAAAAAAAAAAAAACATACTCGTTTCATTTAGTTGCCAACACAACATTTCTCATTTTTATGTACAAAAATAAATAAAACGGAAATAAAAATGTATATAAAATACAGAGACATATTTAAAGAAAAACAACTAATAAAAGTGACAAAAACACAATTTAAAAAATTACTAAAATTTTAAGTAAAATTTAAATGAAAACTGAAAATATAAAAATGATTAATAAAAAATATAATAGTATCTCAATGATACTAAAATAACTTATTAACTAACTAAAATAAATTATTCCAATAAATATTTTAAATTGAAATTGAAATAAAGACAGCAGCTCAGACCATTTGAGGATTTGATATTGCGTCATAAGTGAGATCTGGTGTGTGATTCATCAGTCAGATGATTGTTTATGTGATGTTCGTTCGCTCAGGTCTGACCTCCGTCTGTGTGATGGAGGTGTTCGGTGTGTTTTACAGACGGTGTGTGTGTGTTTATGTGACGGAGCTGTTCTCCTGCTGCTTCATGACTCAGAGCGGGTGAATGGATACATACAAAAATAAATAAAACGGAAATAAAAATGTATATAAAATACAGAGACATATTTAAAGAAAAACAACTAATAAAAGTGACAAAAACACAATTAAAAAAATTACTAAAATTTTAAGTAAAATTTAAATGAAAACTGAAAATATAAAAATGATTAATAAAAAATATAATAGTATCTCAATGATACTAAAATAACTTATTAACTAACTAAAATAAATTATTCCAATAAATATTTTAAATTGAAATTGAAATAAAGACAGCAGCTCAGACCATTTGAGGATTTGATATTGCGTCATAAGTGAGATCTGGTGTGTGATTCATCAGTCAGATGATTGTTTATGTGATGTTCGTTCGCTCAGGTCTGACCTCCGTCTGTGTGATGGAGGTGTTCGGTGTGTTTTACAGACGGTGTGTGTGTGTTCATGTGACGGAGCTGTTCTCCTGCTGCTTCATGACTCAGAGCGGGTGAATGGATACAGTAATTATGACTTTCTGCAGACGTGACATTCTAAAGGCTTAAAGAGACTCTGTGCTTCCTGTGAGGAGGAGGAAGCCCTCTTTATTTCCCAGCCTACAGCACAAGCTCCTCTGACTTACAGAGACGCGGCTTTTCAAAGCTCAGTGTTTTCAGGAGAGACACATGAAAGCTGCTTCTGAGAGAAATGAGAAAATCCTCTGCTTCAAAACAATCATTATATATACACTGTGTGTTGAGATGAAGTTGTCAATGTCATACTGTCCTTCCCTACTTCACATACTTCAGTGTTCAACAAAGCGTTACTGTCCTTCAAGAACTTCAAACCCACACACACACACATACACACACACACACACACACACACACACACACACACACACACACACTTTTTTTTTTTATATGTCTCTATTTATACAAACTCATGGAAGATTAATAGAAACTAAAACTGCTCATAAATACAGTTGGACCTGCTTCAGTGGATGAAGGAGGTGCTTACGGTTGAGGTTAAGTACATCTCTTCTTCCATTTATTGGGGGGAAAAAAACTCCAAAGGTTCAGGCACTAACTGTACCATACCCATGCCAAAATCATAGAAGTAAAATATATGTATATTTCTTCAGTAATGGTGTTTGTTTTCACTTCCTGAAGGCTGTACAGCTCCAAACATATTCACATGCAAATCTTATGACACTTCTAAAATGTTCCAAATGCTTCATTAAGCTCCTGCTGTTATCATGCTATGGTATTTGAGTTACACACAGACACAGACACACACACACTCATACACTCATACACTCATACACACACACACACACACACAGTGATGTAGTCCTGATGCTGGGCACTTCCAGGAAGCTACAGCAAATCTAGTTTGTGCTTATAGAAGATACAACAAAATCCAATTCATTCTGATCTGAGCGCGTCTGTCAGAGAAACACTATTCAAATCACACCACAGACAGCAAACACTGCGAGCGTCCATCACAGAATGAATCACAGACGAGACTGTCCTCAAACAGGGAGGATGGAGGGAATCCAGCAAACGTCTTGTGTTTTCTTGTGTTGTGAATCCAACGACTCTTCTGCTCTAGACACAACCAGACTAACATGACTGACAGACTCTCAGAAAAACCCGTATCTTTTTTTGCACTGTTTTAGATTAAGACCCTTATCTCAGGACACTAGGAGAAGTGTTCAGCACAGTCAGTGTTACATTTGCTCTTAAATATGTTGCTGCAAAGAGGAACAAGATTTCTTTGATAAACTTTATAGAGGGTGAAGCAAAGTTGGCAATATGATTAAAAAGAAAACAGACATAAAAGGTGAATGTTCCGCGGATTCTGAACTAACATTAAAAGCCCTAATAACGGCAAGAATTAGTTTTCTTTTTATAGAATCACAAATAATTTAATGGTTTTTAATCAAATTTGGTTGATCAACAGTTGAAGAAAAACATTTAATTATTCTTTTGTAAAGTTTTTTGTTTTTGAGGCTTGTTTTTGTTTGTTGTTTTGGAGAATGTGTGAATGTAGTTACATTAAAAAAAAATAGAATTGCAATTAATAAAGTGTAAAAAATTCAAAAATTCTCAGTCTCTCTATCTATCTCTCCATCTCTAGCCCTCTCTTATGAAAGACTGTTTCCAACACTAAATAGAAAAAAAAGGTAATTGACTTTTTTATCACACACTACTGTTTTTATGGCGATTTTGAGTTTACATCTAGCAGTTCTGACTTTTTTTCTCAGAATTGCATGATGTAAACTCATTATTGCATGTCAGAACTGCAGGCTGGATAGACTTTCTTCTCAGAATTGCAAGTTTCTATCATCCAATTCTGAGAAAAAAAGTCAGAATTGCATGATAAAAAGTCCAAATTTCATTTTTATTCAGTGCTGGAGAAGAGCTTCCATGCTCTCGGGTTGGCAGTGATCAGGAACGAAAAGCAGGCAGATGCTTTGATTTTTGATTCTCTCTCTGATGAAGTTTATTTCTCCACACGGTGTGGTTTCTGTCAGGCGCGCAGCTGTGGATCCAGACAGGTGGATGCGGCGCTGATGCTTCCACCCATATGGGCCGCTTGAGCACTAAACGACAGCTATTATTTATAAACCACGAGACGCTGTGTGCATATGCTCTCCTGATGAAGCGCCTCCATCATGAGCGGAGAGAAAGAGAGCCATTGTTTAACAGATAGAGACTGGAAGAGAGCGTGGGAGAGAGAGCGAGACGCATTATTCATTCTCTGCGTTTTTCGTTCTATACAGCTTTGGCTTTTGAAGACGGCCGATCAGGAGCAATTCAGAGTGGTTTTTCTCTTCCAGGTTCAATTATCTACAGAAAAGTAAAGCATTCTGATGCACAGATGGAGCGGACGCTCACAGACACGAGCTGAAATCATCATTACAGAACAACTTTCTACTGAATTTACATTCATGCATTTGGCAGATGCTTTTACCCAAAGCCAATTACAGTACATTGCATTCAAGGTTTAGACTTTATCACTTCATGCATTCCCTGGGAATCGAATCTGTGACCTTTCTATTGCATAAAAAAATTCTATGCATTTAAATTACACAGTTAACAAACAAATAAATAAATGTATTTATTTATTAAACAACATGTTAGACAACAAGTAATTTGAAACAACCCGTTTAAGTAATTAATCATCTTGCTTTTGGGGTTTTAAGACAAGTTATAAGAAGTTATTTATGACGATTTTGAAGTACATTCTTTTCAAGAACTCAAATTCTTACGGTTAATCTTAGGAGAAAAGAAGAGAAAATTCTTAAGAAGTATTTGTTAAATAAAAAGTAAAAAAAAAATGTTTTATCCATTTAGATAAACATAAACTGATAAACTTAATATGATGCATATTTGTCAGTCATACACAAACAGTCATGTCATAGTTTATTATCAACTATTTGTATCTATTACATTTTATTTAAACAATCATTTTCAAAATGCATTTATTCAAATTACTTAGAATCAGCATAAATCTGTTCATTGTGAAAACAATTACATTTATTCAGTTAAAAAGTATGAAGATGGTTAAAATATGACAACTGTGGAACAAGCAATATTCAATATTTAAAGCACATGAGATTGGAACAAATTGGATTTACTGATGATAAATATATAAACATGGTTACTGTGCATTTAAAACGCATTCAGTTTATTAGTACTATTACATAAAAACCTGACCTGTTTCATTTATGCATGACTGACAAATACAAATCACGTTAAGTTTATTAGTTTATGTTAAAACTGTGTAATCCAAATAGATGGACATTTTATATGCAATTCATATACAGACCGTTTGGTTGGAAATGGAGGTGACTGAGACAAGAGATGAAGTTTAATCGATAAAAAGGAAGAAGGAGATGATGATGATAAACTCGTCTATTACTCATGACTCAAATCTGAGTTCCTGTGACGTCAGACAATCAGATATGTGCGATTACTGGAATGATCTCGTTTCAGGTCGAGCTGCCACATTAAACAGATTAAGAGAGTTTAACAGTGTTTACAGGCGTCATGTTGTGCATTTTTCATTCTGTTTTTCCCCTGAGGCCACTAATGCAAAAAAGAGCAGATGTCAGTTCACCGGTGTTTCTCAGTAATTGCATCTATCCTACTCAAAGCAATAGTTCACCACTAAATGAAAATGTGCTGAGAATGATGAGACGAGTTGGCTTCAATGTAGCATTGCAACGGATGCTCTGCAGTGAATGGGTGCCGTCAGAATGAGAGTCGCATTTTTAGGTGAACTATTCCTTGGAGTTGCACATGTAAAAATTAAGAAGAAAAAAAATGATGGAAAAACCCATCATCATGCACATGCAGAAGACAAGAGAGAAGCACAGGATAGTCACCAGAGGTTTACTAAAAACACATGTTCGATCTCCTGAAGGATCTCAAGCTCTCTAAAGACGTTCCGGACCTCGTCCCGCTCGATGCACTGCTGCTTGTTCATGTACTTCATGGCGTACATCTTCTCCGTGTCCCGCTTCTGCACGATGCACACCTGAAACACACACAGATGAACACGCAATGAGAAAGACGGCACAGGCCACGCTAACGAGAACATATGCATCATCACAGACCCACCTCCTATTAATAACACGCTCGCTTCGACCGGCACAAAATGTCACGGGTCAGAGGCGCTTCACGAGCACAGAATCTGCATTAAAAGCTCATTAAATGATAATCAAGAGTGTGTGTGATGTGAGACAGAGATAAAGGTCAAAACACAGTCAGGACTCGGGCAGCAGACGGGTCACATGGACTCGCTAATATCTTTCATCACTGCAAATGCATATGTCACTATTTAGTTTCTTCTACAAATTCACAGACATTAATAATAAAAACAATATAATATATAATAGTTTTAGTATATAATATTAAATAATGAATACATAATAAATAGCAATAATGTTTTTATTTTTCTCTAATTATTATGAGCTTGCATGAGCAGATATCAAATGAATGAATCAGTGTAAAAACAGATTCACAATATGAAATACTTCAAAACTCAGTTTAAAAGTTTAGAGACAGTTTAGAATCTAGATTCGGATTTGACAAAATTACAGACAACACCCATAATGCCAGACAAAATTACAAAATAAAAGCCCCTCAAAAACATGTCAAAACACTGACTGAGACGTCACAGTAACTACAGGACAGTTTTACTAGATTCTACAGTGATTCTCCATGACGGTTACATAGTTACACCGGTAGGTGGCGCCAAGAAGTCATTTGAATAATTCATTCAGGCGATTCCTACTAAAGAACGGATTCATTCAGGAACAAAACCAGTGAGTCATTGAATCTTTCATGCAACCAACTCGTTCCAAAAAAAGGATTTGCTCAGGAACACAACAAGTGAGTCATCAAATTATTCGTTCAAATAATTTGTTCAAAAGTACGAATTTATTCAGAAACAAAACAAGTGAGTCATCAAATCTTTCATTCAAATAATTCATACAAAAGTACGCATTACATTGAAGCCTTAAAATATCTAAGAAATAAAAAAGCAAAAAGGATGTATGTATAGAATTTTAGAATCCTTTTCTTATGGAAATTTCTTCTAAGTTATTCCCTGTAGTTTTTTTTCCGTTTCCTTCTTTCTTTTTTTGTTGTTGTTTGTTCCTTTGATGCTATTATGAATGTAATTGATAATAACTGAAAACACTGTGATCCTCAATATATGTATGTTATGTTACTGTTCTTGTTATGCAATAAAAAAAGTGCTCAGTAAAGCCTGGACGGACAGAGGACATGTGAAGCACTGACACAGAAACCTCACAGTCTCTCTGTGTGAAGCAGCGTCCAGTTTGAACACGTGCCGAACACATGCTGCATGCTTGGACGAATAATAAAGCAATAAGCCCCGTGAAGCCGTGGTTTACAGTGAATTTATAACAGTTAAGGGGCATTGTTAGGTATGACGTGAAGCGGAGTTAAACCCCCTTAGCTGTTATAAATTCACTGTAAACCACAGCTTCACGGGGCTTATTGCTTTTATAAAACGGTTATTCCATATACGTAGTAAGGCTTCAGAAAATAACGTAAACAAAGGTGTATTACTTTGTAGAGTCATTTACAACAGCTTCCAACGCGGCTCAGCCAATCAGAATCAAGCACCGGAACTCTCCGGTTTATAATCAAATGTTTATCGCCAGCTACAGCGATAACAGGGGCTTTCAATGGCTCTGGAAAGTCATAATTACAACATCAGACGCATTCAGGTCACTTCGGTCGGAGCTAGAAGGCGATGTAGGCTATGTTTCTACAAAAAACTCATCAAAAAACTCAACGTGCATCGGGTCTGTTTTTGCTTTTTTATGCTTTTATCCAACTTATGAAGGTGCTGTAAATTGAATCGTTATATAGTAATTGTACAATACTATCATATTTTGTACATGCAGCTTAGCTAGTTTTATTGCAAATTTAAATGAAAATTCTCCCTGACACACATACACACCCCAACTTGGAAACTCTGGGAGTAAAGAAGGTACCAGCTTTCCATCCGAACATGACTTGAATGCACCATCTCAGAACGTTCTCCTAACAATCCCATATGGTTCCCATTTGGTCATTTTTGGGGGGAATCAATTAAAAACGTTCTGGGAACATACTGTAAACATTCTGGAAACATTAGGGGAACGTTCTATTTAGGTAAATAAAACTTTCCAAAAGAGAATGTTAGCATGTCTGTCCTTGGAAAGTTCTGAGAACCAGAAACTAACCAAAAAAATGTTAGCTAGGATAAAACCAATGAAAGACAAACTGTCTAATAATCAGTTGCCACGCATGTATTATCATTAATTGGAGTAACTCTTATTTGACTGAGTTTTAAAATGCCTGTTCTTCTAAAACATACTCCAGATGTCTCATTCAGGTGAAATGAAACAAGTCACTAGAAAACGCTCTGATTCTGTCAGACGGCTGCTGTGGGAGTCCAGAGGCAACAATCAAGTCATCTAGCCGTCCAAATGAAACAAGCAAACAAACTAATCCAGTTGAAATGGCCTCCGAAGCATCCAGTATAAATGTTGTTTTCCTGAACTTTAGAAAAGCCTTGGAGCTCACAGCAGCGTTTCACCCCACACATCCAGACGGAAAACACTCTAAAACACTCCCTAATTGCATCCGCTTTGATCCAGCAGTGACTCGATCGGCGGTTCACAGCAGACAGCTCCAATACTAACCTGCCCGCCGGCACCGATAACTCAGACAAACAGCCCAAATATAACCCTCCCAGATCTGATCATTCAACAACAACAGAAGCACATTAACCAGCAGAAGCCTGAAAACAAGACCTTATTCTGCTTTGACAACAAATCCGTTTTCTTGCTGCTAGAGCATCATTCTGCAGGGAAAATAAAGGAAGCAGCACATAATGCATCACATCACTAAAGGAAGAGTACATGCACAAATGAAAATGTGCTCACTCTCAGTCCATCTGAGATCAGGATGAGTTTGTTTCTTCATCAGGTTTGTAGAAATGTAGCACTGCATCAGTGTCTCAGCAATGGATGCTCTGCAGTGAATGGGTGCCGTCAGAATGAGAGTCCAAACAGCTGATAAAAACATCACAATAATCCACACCAGCTAACAGGGAACATTCTCAGGATTTCTGGCATCCTGACAAGGTTCTCTCAAACGTTAGTCCAGTAATGTTAATAGAGCATTTGTTCAAAGCTATATAGTCTTTAAAAATGTTCTTACAACCTTAGCACAAAAACATTATTTATACCTCAACCATGGATTTTTTTCCTGAATCATTTAGTTGGACTGACATTTTATCTACTTGTTTCAAAAGAACATTCAACTATTATGTTTAGAAAATGGAATGTTACCTTAATATTTATACAACCAAGAAAAAAACAAAATAAAAACATTTAAAAACTAAACGTTTTGAATGTTCAGGGAACATTCAGAAATAATTTTTCATAACTTAAAGGCAGAACGTATCACCTCTGTGTAAACAGGGTGTGCAGAGGTATGCAAATACATATTTTGACAGGCAGCCTATCGTAATGTTCGGACCGAACATTTTGATTGGACGAACATTTTATGGTCCTATGCCTTCCACAGACGATATAAATAAATATAAATAAATTTGACCAAATCACCTACCCTGCAAGATAAGAAACATTCTTATCTTCCATGTTTTTTTCCCAATAAAAATGTTTTTAAAAAAATCTTAAAAATGCTAAACTTATCTAAAATTAATTTCAGCTAGTTGCCAAGGTGACATTTCTCATTTTCATTTAGTTTAAGCGCTAAAATAAGTAGTTTTAGAAAACTATGTAGATGTATTAAAAAAAAACTAATAATGACATAAAAACACACACACACACACACACAAAAAACTAAAACTTTAACTTAAATAAAATTAACAATTACAAATATTGACAAAAACTATAATAGTATAATAGAAAAACATTAACATAATTTGGAATTATTCTAAATAATATTAGGTATTTCACTGTTTTAGCTTTTGAGAGAAATTTCTTAAGGTTTTACCAGTTTTCATATTGAGATGGGGTCAAATAAATCGTACGCGCGAGTTGATGTTGTCTTATTTTTGAACGTTTTGAACATTCAGAAAAGTCTGGAGAAGACAAAAGCTGAAACACATCCAGCATTAAGACATTTTTAAGTCCATAATCCATAATAACGCTTCCTCCAGTGAAAAAGTGCATCTCCTGTCATCTCTTATGGAAGCGTTATTATGGATTATGGACTGGTATTTTAGTTAAAAACATCTTAATGCTGGATTAGTTTCAGCTTTTTTCTTCTCCAGATGTTAACTGATGGACTGGAGTGCTGTGGATTACTTGTGGATTATTGTGATGTTTTTATCAGCTGTTTGGACTCTCATTCTGACGGCACCCATTCACTGCAGAGCATCCATTGCTGAGACACTGATGCAATGCTACAATTTTACAAACCTGATGAAGAAACAAACTCATCCTGATCTCGAATAGACTTATGGTGAGCACATTTACATTTTTGGCTGAACTGTTCCTTTAACTCTCATTGTAAATATGTGAGGCACAACACAGAACGACCCTGTTCTTTAACTGACACTAACAACAATCTAATTACCTTCACATTTATCTCCTCCAAATGAGAGCATTAAACTCCTGCCGGCTGTTTTCGTGGTTAAATATTCATAATGAATACCTGTGACTGTGCTTGAACACACATTAGATGGTGTGCTAAAGGTCAGCTGTCGGCTGCTGAAAGACTGCTTCCAGCTGAATGTGCTTCATGCTGTTCTGAGCTGATATTTCCGTCACTGCTCTGGGAAACATCACAACAATGCTGGCAGTCGTTCCACCTGCTCGCTTCGGTCAAAGGCTGTCGAGCGAGCGGATCGAGGCCTAACCGAGCTCTGACTGAGTCACGCTGAAGCTGTGAGATAAAGCGGCACGCCAGGGAAAGAGCCGTATAAACCCGTCCCACCGGAGAACATTTCCACTCCACAGATCATTTCACGCTTATCAACATCTG